ACATTTTCAGCCAAGAGATGAAAAGTTGTCGTCGTCTCTGACCAGACGTCTGATCAATGGCTGGTAAAAATACAGCGTTTGCCTCAGTTGTCCACAAGCCTTTTTTTCCGCCCCGTTTTAAAATGAAAAAAGCTCTCATGTGTTTCATCTTTTTGCCGTTTTTTTCTGGAGTTGCATTCCACTGCTAGGTCGTCTGAAAAGTAGTCCCCAAACTCAATGCGATCTGCGAAAAGTATCATGCCACATCAGTAAGACCCTAATGCTCTAAATTCGCAGTAATCCCTAGCAGCAGGCAGAACTCTCAACAGTCTCAAAATGTCACAATGCAGTAGATTCTCCCTAACTGAGGGCAAGCAGGTGCCTCTCCCGTGGCGCACTAATGACCCAATTATATCAATCAGAGGCCTTGATTGGTGCTACACTCCTTTCCCTTTTACTCCATCTCTTTCTCCTTCGCATACAATCTTGTTCCCAGGAGCCACCTGGATTGGATGGTGTGTGTAAGCGTATGTGTGTGTGTGTGGCCCCCTCAAGCACAGCGCAGTACTATGCGCACAAAGATAGCAAGTAGGCGGCATTGATGGTGGCGGAGGAGCAGGAGGACACTACTTGAACACAAAAAGCAGATAGGGGTCTGAATGAGCAAAACCCATTAGACCCTTTTTAATGTCGGGCCCGAGTTTAATGTTCATTAGTGCAGCTGGATCCCGACGAGTACCTGCAAAGGGTTTCACATGAAATCATCATCATCTTGTTTCCGAAAAGCAGACTACCTGCGGAGGTAGAGGTGAAGGGGGAAGCCTTCGACTCTTTGTGTGGTATAAGAAGTAAAGAAGAAATTTTAAACGAATCCTCCTACTTTTTCGTTTTCTGCCATGTACGAGTCGAGAAGAATGAGAAGTTTGACTGAAAATCTAATGAAACTGAGCTTTTCAGAGACATCCTAAAAAATTATCTGGAGACCTGGAAGGGCTTGATCGGAGTAGAAGATAAAAATCTGTAATGATTCTGGCTTCTAGTTTTGTTTCCTTGTGTTCAAGTTCAAAAGAGTCCAAACTGTGACTAAAGGCGCCATTTTCCAACTCTTACCTTCTCGGAATGCAACAAATTCACGCTCGAGTTTTCTCTGCTTTATAGAGAAACTCCCAACTCCGATCCTGCTCGATTATTGAACCAGACCACACTTTCAAGAGCACTCTTCAGTGTGGGTAATGTCACTGAATGAAAAACATAAAAGCCGGTTGCGTATTAGTATCAGAGTGGTGTAGTAGAGTCAGAGGAAGCAGAAAGATATAAGAAGCTATTTAAAAGAATACGACTTGTGGAGACTTGTCTGTGGGTTTTTTCAGCCACAGAAAAAACCCTAAAATTGACCAGAAAACAGGAAGACTGGACATTTTGTTTTTTTATCAACTTCAGCTAGATTTGGACATGTTGGACTCCCTTTGGGAGCCTCTTGGTGAAGCTAACCTCATATTGATGGGGATACACACAAAGCTTTAGAAATGTGCGACGCATTAACTGGTCAGATTGCTAATATGTGAAGCTAAACACGGTTTAAAAAGTCAACTTTGTTTTAATTTTTCATTGGTAAATCTTAGTTGTAAAAATGTCTTAATGTATGACCTCTTGTGGCAGGATAGTTAAGAAAAAGCTTGGAATGCTGTTCCTGTGTCTTCTTAAATTATTGTTTGTAAAGAGGAAAATTGGCTCGGAGTCTGTATCCGCGGCTGAAAGCTTTACCAAAGCTGGAGATCAGGAATCTGCTACAAAATACTTTTTTCTTTCTTTCTTTTTTTAATTAACTTTCATTTTTCTGGCCACTGCTTCGTAAGTTATTTTAATTTAAAGACACTACACTACACAGGGGTGTATTTTATTTTATTTTTTCAAATGCACACTGGCCGTAAAACAAAAGGTAATTAAGAAAAAGTGTGGGTATTGTGCGTTTATTGTGTAAATAAACACAAATACTGCTTCATGTTTATTCAGGTTGATGACATCACATGCGACACAAGAGCTGACTTGATTGGCTGGCATTAGTAAAACTTGTGGCAGCCAAGCGATTTTTATGTGGATTCAGAAACATTTGAGCTCTAAGTGGCTTAACCTCCCCTCTTTGACAAAAAAAAAAAAAAACATGATTTGTGTGACCTTCGTTGGACACGTGAGTCTGTTTGGAGATATTTTTAGCCAGACATAGTGGGTGGTCCATCAGGTCTGCAAGAACAAAAAGGGACCTCAAAAGTATGTCAATGCAATGTGATCAAAGGTGCACCGATTGCAGTTTTCTGGCCGGTCACCAGTCTTCAAAAAGGATGACCTGCCGATTTGGATTTTGGCTGATACCATTTTTTTTTTTTGGTGAGAGAATCTAAGTTGGCCACTGAGAGTCTTTGGGTGACTTGTTAACTTATTAACTGTGCCCATGTGGCTTGAACTCGGAGGGCCGGTCTGCCCTCGCTAACGGCGGAGCAATAGGTGGCAGATTTTCAGATATTTGGAGGTAGATAAGATCAGTATTGCCAATCAGGGCCAATTCAGGCAGCGCACCCCTAAAAATGGTTTTCCAAAAACTTAATTTGGTCTCTCCGGGGTGCCCTGATTGTCTCCACAAACCGCTTCTGTATATTTTATTAAACGCAAACGTATCTGACTGCAAAATCGGGCGTAAAAACATGAAAATGAGGAGGAAAAAGAGAAAAACTACAAATAAATACAGTTAAATGAACTTACACTGGGTAAGTTAGATACACTGGGCTGTAGAAACTTATTTTTTTTATGTTATCTCACCGATTGACAACCAACAAAGCAAAACAAACTTAAAAACGGAGCATTAAGTGTTGTTCCACACATAACAAAGCAGGTCAAAACTTAAAATACATTTTACAAAACAAAACAAAAAAAAGCCCTGCTACAGAAAAAAAAGGAAACTTGAACATAAACAAGAGTTTAAGAATTCCCAAAATCTGATTATAGGACAAGCCAGCAATGTCAACCTACTTCCTCTGGACACGCACACGGCTCTTGAGAGTGTGACATTTTGGGTGGATGTATAAAAAAAAATGGGGCATTTCAGGATGCCTAAACATATTCCATCGGCCACAGAAAAGGGCGACGGGAGTGTCTTTTTTTGGTCAGGCCAGATGACACGTCTGCGCCTTATCTCGAGAGGAATTTCCTCCTCGCCCCTGTGATGTGCGTCAATAACGTGCAACCATTTTCAGCACGCTCTTTCCCCCTCTCTGTCCTCCTCCTGCTCCTCCTCCTCTCGCGGCCATCTCAATTAGAGGCACATTAATGAAATAAATAACCATCAACAAACAATGCACTAATAAACACCCCGACTAAAACGAGATTAACCCTGCCCCGTAGATTGTATCCCAGAGAAAAAGAATGCGATTGAAACACCACCGGAGGAGGAGGAGGGGAGTGTAGTTTTGGAGAAGTCGGAGGGGTGGCGTGTGTGTGTGTGAGAGAGTGAGTGAGTGTGTGAGTGAGTGTCATGTCAGCCCATCTATCGCTCTCTCCCCTGCTCCATTTTGTTCCTAAATTTTCTATACAAAAGATTAAGGGAGGGGAGAAAAAGGCGAGCAGCGAAAAGGGAAGGAGGAGGGTACAAAAAAAGAAAAAGTGTCATCATGGATTTCATTTTTAACCCCCTGCCAATCTCAAAACGATATCCGTCCCCCCACCAAAAAAATAAATAAAAAAAACATTTATTTTTAACATCAAAGCTGAAATCTTGTCTTCACATCATTCCAACCTGCACGCAGCACTTTATCCGCTACTTTACGAGGCGATGTTAGGACAGCTAAACGCCTGATAGTAAACACTGTAGTAGTAAAAAAAAAAAAAAAAAAAAAAGGTGAAAGGAATAACGTCGCTCGAGACGCTTTGATTTATTTATTTATTTTGTTGCGCAAAGCTAAAATGAAAGTGACGACGCTTATCTCGCCAACAAGGAGCCACACGACGCCGTTTAACGCGCGTCCAACAAAGACAATTAGTCGGGCTGAACACGTTCACCTTCGACTCAACTTACACAAAATTGGACACACTTTTTTTCCCCCAAAATGTGGCTTTCACCCTCGTCCGAATCCCACCAACTCCGGTCTACTTTCCGACTCGGAACGTCGCCTTGTTTTTATCATTAGAGTTGCCCGAATCACACTCCTCCTGGCAGCGGCAGCAGCAGCAGCTCCCAACTTTAAACTTCCAAGTTGCTTCCGTTCGACACGAATTCCCCCCTTTTTAACACTCCGAGCGACTTTTCCGAGGACTTGCGACCATTTTAAAGTGGCGTTAAAAATCGCCCCGACCCCGCCAAGTCGACCGGTTCAAACTGTTACTCTAATGGGGGGCTTTAAGGCGAAAACAGCGGCTTTCTCTCCCCCCTCAACCCTATTATTTTCTGATTTTTTTTTTTTTTTTTTTTTTACCGTCACGTCACGGACATGAGACGGGAGGCTAAAACGCATGTCGTCCGCGCGCGCGCGCCTACATAACACCCGGTTTTTTTATATATACATACACATATACATACATGACCCAAACTGGAAAGTGTGTCCGGAGAGAGCGAGCGCGCGAGCGCGCTTACATGCATACCATACATACGTGCTTCATGCCAATCACTCCACATGCTAACACACACACGCGCGCGCTCGCGGGCGAATCTCTCGCCTTGTGTGCGCGCGCGCGCGAGAGAGAGCTAACTGCACATGAAAGAAGCGGAGAGACACAAAACATATCAACAACTACCATTATCCCGCTCGCGAGCGAGAAGAGGGGAGAGGAGGAAGAAGAAGAAGAGGAAGAAAAAGGCAACAAGAGTCGCAGTTTAAATTCTCCATTTTTGGAAATGTTTCATCACCGCCGTGTCACGCCACCGAGTGTAAAAGTGCACGCACGGGCTATGTAAACATAGTAGTGGGGAAAAATTGAAGCGGATAAATGAAGATACAGGATATATGTTGAAAGTAAAGACTCAGTGTACTTACGGGAGAGGCGGCGAGGAGATTAATGACACGACACGTCATGATTACGTTTCACTTGAATTAAATACATTACGAGTTGGGAAAAAAATGGAAATCAGGGTTGTATACAAGCATACGCCGTTTCCCCCTCCCTCCCTCCGTTTGGTCACCCTCTCCTCTCTCTCACTCTCTCCTCCTCCTCCTCCTCCTCCTCCTCCATCTCCCTTTCTTTTCTTTCTCCCCTTCTCTTCTTTCTTCTTCTATTCACCCCCTCTTCCCCCCCAATTTATCGTACAGGAGTGAGTGAATAGGGGAGAGCAAAGGAGAAGTGGGAGGGAGAGTGATGTAGGTTGGAAATGTTAATTATAATCTCAGCACGGGCTCCATTTTACAACGCTGTCATCTCTTCACATTTGTATCCTAAATATGGCATCTGGGTTGGAGGGCAGCTGACAGTTTAGACACATTTTTTTTTCTGAAGGGGGTGAAGGAGAAGGAGAAAGTTTCTCACCAATGGAAGTGTTGTAAAAGTGATGGAGGGGATAAGGGAGGAAGGGGTGAGGGTGGTGGGGGGACAAGAGGCAGTTTAAATGCTGTAGTGAACCACCCCGGAAGCACATGGCCAGGGGAAGAAACAAAAGTGAGCATATTTGGGTACCAACATGAGGGGAGAGGACTGCGTGGGTCCTTCGGGAGGAGGCAGCAAGTCCCCCCGGTCAAAAAAATAAAGACAAAATGTGAAGAAGAAAAGAATAGTTTTATTTTTACAGAATATGTTAAATAAGCAAAAAAAAAAAAAAAAAAGAAGAAGAAAAAAGTTGAACTTAAAGAATGAAAACTCCAAGCGCACATTGGGACACAGCCGTCATCCAGCTAACCCTCACCTTCACTGCTGCTCTTGGACGGGAAATAAAACATTACAGGCAAAACTTTATGACCGCTCACAGGCGACGTGAACAGGTCAGGTTATTATTATTTCTTTTTTTTTTTTACATTGTGGCCACTTGTTAGTGGCGAGGAGATTCCGGGCACGTCGGCGAACCTCGCGACCTCGGAGTCGACGCGCTGGAAGCAGGGAAAACAGGGGAAGCGTTAGGATGTGACACATTTGGGTCAGGGCTTGTTCCAGGTCCGCGGCGGCCCATATATGTTTTGTAAGCGTTCCAAAGATTCCGAAAGTTCAGCATAAAATTCTCCAGAGGTGAAATAAAGTAGTAGCGGTGACCCCAATTGAGAGAGAAGGGGGTCATTAAGGCATAGTTTTTCCTCAAAAGATTTGTGTAAAAAATTCAGTTTTGTATATACAATTGGAAAAATTAATTTTATATGTTAAGGAAATGAGCAAGGAACTGGCTCTCATTGCTCTTTGTTGGCTATAAAAAGCCTTGTGCTGTCTGTACAGTAAGATGTCAATTCTACTAAAATAGCTTATTTATTCCAAAGGGAAATGAAATATTGTTGTAACCCACATCATCGGAGTTTCTTCTGTTTTTGGAGGGTGATGCTGTGGGCAGCAAAGTTCTCCAGTAGCAGTCAGTCTTGCAATAAATCCAAAGAGACTGCTGACTGAAGACTGTTGCTATACGACAGTCAAGCTACTCAAAATCTAGGGAGCGGTGATGAAGGCATGACCTGGTGGACACAATCAGTTGTTGGCAAGCACTGCTAATCAGTTGCTTTTGCAGCTTTAAATGCTCATCTGGTTGTGTGGTTAAAAAGCCAGGAAGACAGATGTTGGATGTTTTGGTCCTGCTCTGCCTCCATGAAGTCTTCCCTTTCTCTGGGATTTAGGGTTGTGGTTCAGGTTCTGTTTGAGATGCTAATGAGCTGCTTCCTGTTGTGAAAAACGGTACCTTTGCGGTTATGTTTGTGTGTCATAATGGTCCAAAAGCAATAAGAAAAGTAAAAGGAGAATATTTCCAACTGCACAGCATCCAAAATCAAAAGGAATATTTGACAAAGTATGCTAAAAAAATTGAACAGAAGTCCACAAAAAGAACAAGTACTAATATAACAGAGCAGTCCCTTCATTCTGCCACTATGAGCATTGCAATATTAGAAACTCTGCGTTGACCAGGCCATCTGTCCCAAGTTGTACCCCACCTCTCTCCCATTTTCACAGATAGACACCAACCTGGCAGGACCCTACAGGAAATGGGTGATTACATTCAAAAACATGTTCAAGTCAAGTTTCATGTAAATTATTCTATAGAGGATAAAAATGGTTTTGGTTGTCATGGCTGGACTCAAAAATACTCTTGACAGTATTTGATAGAAATCAATGCTTTTTTTGAATAGAGATTTAGCAAAATTACCCCAAAAGTTAATGCTAATAACGGTAGCGCACTTTCTAGCACTATTGCCTGGTAGCAAGAAGGTAATGGGTTCATTGGCCGACCTAGGGACTTTCTGCATGGAGATAACCTGTCCAAGACGTACCCATCCACCTGTTAAAAGACTAAACATTTTGTTTGTACTTATTTTCATTCTAATATCTTCACAAATAATCAACATAAAATACTTAAAACCAGTCATTGAAGTACTTGTGTAAATGACTGAGCTATTGTTCTTTTAAGAAGAACCTAATCTTCTATGCTAGCTAGCACTTTCTAGTAGTGACGCCACCAGATCGCTTTCCTTTACCAACATAATTTCCTTGCAAACATTAAGTATCCCTCATAAACAGTGTTATGCTGTTTGTTTGGTTTGTATGGCGTTGAGTCACAGTAAGGAGACCATTTCCTTATACAGTTGACGGCAAGCCAACAGCAACACAGTTTCTCGGAGGACGTTATTCGCGTTCATTTCAGTCTTTAGACCCAGAACAGGTTTCTTGTTACGTCTTGAACATTTCAGCCCATGTGGAGGTGAGAAAACTCTCCCAGCTGGATTTATTTATTTTATTTTTTACACAGTTACAATTATGTGGCACAATTGCTACCGGGAGGAGAAGAGATCAAGAAAGAGACACTGAAAGCCTACAACTTTGACTGATGTTGCAAGTTTGGGTTATATCAGATGGACTGTGGGAACCTGCCTGGATGCACATCGCAGATCTGCACACAGTTGCATCTGATGCGGGATGTAGCCATTTGAAGTGTATCGCATTGTGGTTGGCCTTGAACAAAGTTATTTTCACATGCCAGCTCCTCTGCGAGCTCAAAATATTTTTTTCAGAAGGTGTCTGTCCTCAGCTGCATTTGCTCCATTTGCATTGAGCCGAGCTTTTCTCTCACAGCCGTCCGCTGCGTTCGCCGCTCCGAGGCCTGACACCACGCTTGAGTTCAGGGTCGAACGTCAGCCATCGCATAGCCAAACCTTTTTGTGCTGAAGCGTCAGAGTGAGAACAAGAATGTGTTGCCGAAGCAGAAGCTCTGGATAATTCTCACATGTCCCTCCAGTCGACTTGCGTCAACAAAACTTGTTAATGTGGTCAAAAGGTGAAAGTTGAAAAGATGTTTATATGTCATATGCAGGGGTTCCCCAAAGACCATGATTTTTGCATCAATAAATGTTAAAAGTCACAGAAACTCGGAGGTGCATGCGTGAGCAGGCGTAATCATTTCAAAATAATAGCTTGGGAGGCTAACAGGCAGCTGCAGTGATGCTGCGCGCTCCCTTGGCTAACTTCTGTGTCCAGCTAGAGATGCCTGGTCGCCCTTCTGTATTTGTGTTAACATTGGTAACATGTGCTTTCCTGGCTTATTTACATTTAGTTCTGTCCTGCTTATTTTTCTCCTTTGAGCAAACTAATATTAATGCAGCCAAACTCTCAAAAACTTTCACAGGTTTTCTTGGTCTGTCAAAATCATGATGGGAAG